CCATACATACTCCATATATTTTTACATGTTTACTCTATGTATGTTCAAACGGTCACCATGCGCGACCAATATATCAAGTACATAACAAGACCAAAATATGGAACACTGGGATTGCACACGAGCACCAGAGACAATACTAACGAGCGTGAGAGATTGAAATCAAATACTCAATATTCATAGATCGAGTAGTTGAACGTTGACAAGCTTCTAGCTGAAAAATGTACAGGTAAAATATCAGCAGCAAGGCATCAGCACAAAAATAAAGTCATGACGAACTACTCACCGATCGCCGCTCGAATAGGCTCTTTCCTGTCCGCCGGCGTGCCTTCATCCCGTCTTTTCTTTGGCCGCGGCGGGATGAGCTTTCTCGATGTGCTTGGACAAGCCAGATGTTCCCGTCCTTCGCTGCTTGTTGCTTTCTGATGGAGTCCACTTCATGAGGTGGTTGCAGGTTGTCTCATCCTTCTTCTCCACCAAACACACCACGTTCTTGTCGTTGATGGACGGGGCGAACCTACTCACAAACTGCCAACACCAAGATGTCAACCTCCTTTTGCCATATAGTGAGGCTTCACGAGTGTGACTGATATTGACTGGCCGTGGCCCGCATCGACCATGGTGCTAGACTCGCGTGAGGATTGCGGCTCTGGTTCCCTCGCAGCCACCGATTCCAAATCCACAGAATCGCTCCCGTCCACAGAACCACCGGCAGCAGGCGCCACCGACAAAACAGCAGACCCATCTTCTACACTACTATTAGCAACGGGATTCCCCTTCTGACGCGCTCATTGCTCTGCTGGACGCTGGGGCAACTGCTGCGTGTGTGATGGGTGTGTTCGAACAGCTGATGATCGGCGAAAGATGAAAGAGGTTCCGCCGAAAAGGAACAAGACAGAACCAAAAAAAAAATAATAAAAATAATATAAAAAGTATTAAGGCCGAGTCTTACGTCGTGATCATTTCGGAGATTGTTTTTTGCTCTCGGTCGAGGGGTGTGGTCTGCAAGGGAAAAATTACCTGGATCAAAATGACCTTCTTACGATTCCTCGACACAGATCTTTTTCTCAGGGGAAAAAAAGGGCGGATTCAGGTCTTTGTAGGTCACAACATGCTTCAGTTCACGGTTTTGGCTCGTGTGCGACCAACAAGACACCGAGTGCCCTGTTTTTGGGTCGCCTCCAGAGGACATGTATATAATCGCACGCCGGTGACTGCAGTTTGTGGATATCATCGGCCAAGGGCCTCTCTGGCATGCGTTGTGGACTGATCACGCTCGGAGCAACCAGAAAAAAAAAGGCAACGTTAAAAAAAGTCGACATCGTAACACAATTCGGTTCACGTTTACAGGCCGTGTGCAATCAAAACTGGACAATACGCTCTGCTTCTGGGACGCGAGCAGAGCGGTTGTGTATGATCACACGCCATTGGCAGTAGTTTGTGGATGTCATCGGCCGAAAACCTCCCTCTGGCATGCGTTGTGGACTGGTAGCGGGTGACACACGGAGCAAAAACAAGAAAAAAGTCCCAAAAGTCAACACTGCAACACACTCGGTTCACGTTTACAGGCCGTGTGCAATCAAAACTGGACAATACGATCTGTTTCTGGGACGCGAGCAGAGGTTATGTATATGATCACACGCCATTGGCTGCAGTTTGTGGATGTCGACGGCGTAAAGCCTCTCTCTGGCGTGCGTTTTGACTGGTCACACATACAGCAGGCACAAAAACGGCTCTTTTCGGCACAAAGGCAAGAACGTCAGCAGAGCAATGTGGCAGGGTTGACGTTTTCGGCTCGTGTGCTGCCAACACGACGCAGAACGCCCTGAATTTTTGATACCTGCAGAGAGTTTGTGCATGACCTCATGATACTGGCCGCTGTTTGGCCAGCAGACGGTGTAGTTCCTCGTTCTGGCACGATCGGGGTGTGACCAGGGGGTGACCCCCCCCCAATTCCAAACTGGAAATTATCAGCCGATCCAGTTTGGAAAATTGCCTATTTTCCAACGCGGCAGCTGGGATCCTAGGGAATATTCGGCGATTTGGAATTTGGGCGTTTGGAATTGGTCAAATTCCTCCGCGTAAGACGCTCAAATAATTATTTGGGCTGAGAAGAGGACCCCCCCCCAAAAACAAAATCCCGAAATAATCACGACATAAGACTCGGCCTAAGGCAAAATAAGTACACACACAGAAAAACCCATTCAAGATATACCGACAGTCGAACGGGATGTGGTGGAGTCTTTTCAGTGAGTGGAGGAAAACCAATATAAAATATGACGAAAGGGCAAAAAGAAGAAGAAAAAAGACAAACAAAGATGCGGGCCAGCTGGACTCGAACCACTGTTCTACGCGGAATATCGCCCGTAGTATATACTCTCCTAGCCTACTTTCTCTCCCAGTTGCGACAACCTCACAGGCTCGTGCGACATGGCGGTACTTTTACGGCGGTACTGTAGTATGGCGGTACTTCTACGGCGGTACTGTAGTATGGTGGTACTGCAATACGACGGTACGTTTACGGCGGTACTGCAGTACGGCGGTACGTTTACGGCGGTACCGCAGTACGGCGGTACCTTTTCGGCGGTACTTCAATATGGCGGTTCTGTTTAAGCGGTTCCCGGTACTTCGTTTTTTGGCGGTACTTCTTCGGCGGTACTGCAATATGGCGGTAATTTGTAGGCGGTAGGCGGTATTTCATTTTTCGGCGGTACCGCCTGCGCCTTCGGCGGTTCCCGGTACCACCGAATTTGGCGATAATTACCGCCAGTACCGGGACCGCCCACCACGGCGGGAAAAAAACGGCGGGGATTTTCACTAGGTGTACCCTGCTTTTTTGTAGGATTGGCCTTTTTCTGCCACGACGCAACGACACACACACGCAACATGCCAAATCTCTGGCTCTCCGTTCCGCTGGTGCGCAGCAAGACCACCCGCGGCTCGCCGGCGCGCGTGGGTCATTCATGGGCGGGACGCACTCCGGCAGATGTCTGTTCGAGGGACAACGATGAATATGATGATTCAGCAGTAGTAGGTCTATATCGCGAGATTGGCGGAAAGAGAGAGAGGGACAGATAAGACAGACAGCAGTGGCAGTAGAGAGAGAGAGAGAGAGAGAGAGAGAGAGAGAGAGAGAGAGAGAGAGAGAGAGAGAGAGAGAGAGAGAGAGAGAGAGAGAGAGAGAAAAGCGAGAGAGAGAACAGGACCGTGCCAACATACCTGGTAGTGCACCAACCGTTGTTTGTGTGCGACTGGGTTCCAAGGCAGACATAGTTCAAGTGTTCGTCCCGAGCAAGCCCTGTTCAATCTTTTGTACACTTGAAAGAAGCGATTGATTCGCGTCCGCTCAGCTTCATGGTCGACGAGGGAAAATACGGCTGTGAATGTTGCCGCTGTAAACATTCAGAGCCGCCGAGGAAGGGCACGAAGGACACGTGGAGAAGAAAAACCGCAGTGTGACGTTACGTTAATATTACACCACGTTCCTTTCTCGTGTTTCATCCACCCATTCCTCCAGAAGAAATAACGCCGAAACAACTGACGCCCCGAATCCAGACTATACGTACATGTGTAGCTTTGTAACCGTGTCTGCTGTAGGACATGGCTACACTTGTGCGCCCTCATCACCATGGCAGGAAGTCATCCAAAGGGTTCTGCGACTGAATACCTTACACACAAAGCATAAAACAATCACACTCTACACCTGGTATGGCAACCGTTTGGAAGGGGCGCATCAAGCTCCGTTGTTACGAGGCATGAAACTATCGGGGTACAGCAGTGTGGTTGGTCAGCGATCAGCAGCAAAGAAAAAGAAGAAAGGACACGAACAAGGTCGTGCGCCTGTCAAGAATACAACGGTGGTATGCACACAAAAGGGTGTTTTGGGGCTGGCAGTTGACCACCCTATATCTGAGAGGTGGTGCATGCATACCAAATTTCGCCCTCTGCCGTTTCAGATGGCACGAGGCGGGGTGTGTGTATGACCCATCGCAGCGATGTACATGCGTGCATTTTCCATGCTACAAAATTGGTACCCCGATCCTGAGCATTCCATGCATTGCGGGAGTTCGCTGGATTTTTGGGACTCTCCTCCGTCGGCCACTTGTTCTTGTAGTCGGAAATGGCCTCTTGCTTGCATTCCCACCAAAGGTGTGAACACAGCTAAATAGACGCTCATATGCATACTTCTCTCGCCTTTGTAGCCGAGTACAGTTCGTGCGTAGATCGGTTCCTCGGGGCTGGGTATCAGCGCGGAATCATACCTTCATCTGCTCCTCAATCCAGGTGATTTCCTTCTCTTTTTCTCCGGTGATTTACAAGAAGTGTTACAACTTGCTGGAGACCCACAGGTCGACGTACATGGTCAAAGCTTCTCTTCCAGCGAAGCGATTGACACACGAACGGCGTCAAAGGGTTTTTCACAGAACAGTCACAGACGAGACATACATGTGATAGACATAATAACGAGTGATAACGTCCACTTTAACGAGCTTTTGTTATCTTTTTCCGCATGGGGGGTGTTAAGTACAGTACACACCGGGTGGTTGACAACTTTCGTGAAAACGTGCCATGAAGAGAAGTGTTGAGATGGTCCCTTCTTCGTAAGTGCGGCATGACCGCCGCCTCTTCGACACCTCTGGAGGGCAAACGGGGAAATGTCCGACACTTCGATTCCAGTTTTTATGTCCCCTGTACCCCTAGCGCCGCGACCAGTATGAACATGGTGTTCGTATCCGGACAGCCACAGCCCATGATTGCATTTTGTGCAGATTCTGCGCGAAGCCGCCATAACCAGCGCGGCGCACCCAAACGCATTAGGTAGACTTTATCTCGTGCGATAAACTGTCTCGGGCACCAGTACTTGTTGGAAAATGGAGGGACGGACTTGCACCGAGGTCCGAACGGTTTTTACTACGCAGGCTAACAACAGCAGCGACACACGTGATATGCATCCTACCTCATGCGAACGTTTGTTTCTTATTGCGCTTGCAACACCTGTCGCCCCGGTGGTCTAGTTGGTATCCTCGAAACCTTCTAGAGGTCAGGTCAGCGGTTCGAATCCCGGCGTAGGCGAGCTTTTCTTGCAAAGTTAGTTTTTCTCTCGCTTCCGCTTCTGGCCTAGTGGATAGCGCTAGTTCGTGTGTACACAGAGGGAAGAGAGTGCTGAACTCCTCTCGCATAAAAAATCGAAGGCAAAGTACCGCAGGAGGGGAGGGTAGAGAGGGGCTCTTCTGTGTGACCACGGGTTGGTGTAAACGGCACCAGTGCTGTGAGCGCTGATTTGAAGTGAAGACAACACCAAAGTACATGTAGCAGGCTGCTGATCCAGCGTGGAGATACGGGATGCTTGACAACCTCCCCCCCAAAAAGTGGCGTGCACATAAGACCTTGTAAGCAGTGGTTACGGCAGCGAATTCTGGCCAACGGTAGGTTGAAAGCGCGTATTGGTGTCGGGAAGCTCCGGGGCGCTGCTCGGTACCATACGCCGGTAGGCGGTGGCATATACATCAACCAGAGGCGATATTGTAAGAGCCTCGCATGTCTGCAAATCCGTAGACGTGCACGGGCGTCAGACAGACAGACGGCAAACAAGATGACGCAGACAGCCAACGACCGGTACAAGCAGTATTAGATGGAGATACAAGCCGGGGAGTGTCTTTTGCCGTGCTGCTGTTGAATGGCCATTCTCCTTGCCGCTATTTCTCGGTCACGCGTGTCTTGACAGCAGCTGTTTTTTTTTTTTAGAAGTGGCCAAAATCGGGTACACCCGGTCCAAACACGGCCATAATCGGGTACCCCTACAAGACGCTGCTGGGAGCGACCGCATGACACCATCTGGTTGGCCGACGCCCACTCCTACCCGACCTTGACCGTCTTTCCACCGGGTGCACCCGATCTTGGCTACTCACCCCACGAAGGGGTACCCGGTTTTTCTTCCCCCTGCCCGAAAATGACTGGACTATTCAGCCAAAACCCGTGCACACAATCACGGGTCGGACGCACACCGCCGGCTCTCGTTTGTCGCCAATGAGAAAGCAGCGGGAGGGAGGAAATATGTCTATTTTTTAGACGAGTCTCGTGTGTGTCGCATCTCGTGAGTGATGAGGTATTCATCCAGCTCTTTCTTCTTCTCGATCATTTGCACGGGCCGCCTGCCGTTTATCCCAAGGGAGACTTCCACCAACCGGCGGAGGGTCTGCCTCCGCCCGCCGGGCCGTCAGAACGTCCGAATTCGAGGGCTGAGCGTTGCTGTCGTGTACTTGTGTGCATGGGTTTTGGTCGAACAACCCAGCCATTTTCGGGTAGGGGGAAGAAAAACCGGGTACCCCTTCGTGGGGTGAGTAGCCAAGATCGGGTGCACCCGGTGGAAAGACGGTCAAGGTCGGGTAGGAGTGGGCGTCGGCCAATCAGATGGTGTCTTGCGGTCGCTCCCAGCAGCGTCTTGTAGGGGTACCCGATTATGGCCGTGTTTGGACCGGGTGTACCCGATTTTGGCCACTGCTCTTTTTTTTTACTTGGGACCAGTTTCAATGCGCACCAAACATGGGCACAAAATGATTTGGAAGGAGTGAGTGGGAGACGTCTTGCTCGAAATCTGATCGCCCAGGCGGTGATGAGAAAATTGACGATGCTCAAAAGAGATTTGCTGGTTGACGTGTCACAGCTAGCAGTGAGGAGCGATGCGCAGGCGTGTGACCTGGCCGTCAGTACCTACTCCCGACTGACCTTCTCCTTTCTTGGGTTGGCGTTCTTCTCCCGATAGTAACTGACACCTGTTGTGTGTTGAAAGAGCATTCTTGTTGACGCGAGAACCCAAATTTCATCTTTTTCGTGATGTTTCATTGATTGTGGCCGGTGACACCCGCCGACAAAACCAGAGGCTCGATTGTTTAGTCAGGCCTGTTGCCGGCATGATGCAGGGCGTAGTGGCGAGTGGGGGGAATTGGGTTGGTCATCGCACACCCTACCCCCCTCGTCGATTTGTTTGCGTCGCTCGTTTTGCTTGTCATGTGTAAACGCTCGGGTCCGAATTTCTCCCCCACGTACTTTCATTACGGCAGCAACGAATGCAACCACCGCGTCGGTTTTAATGTGCTTCTCTGTGCGTTCCGACGAACGGCGACAGGCTGTGGACGGTGAAACAGCGGTTCAGCACCCTGGACGCCATGAGGCATGGCCTATGGAAGAAGAGGCTGCCGCTGCCGGACGTTCCTTTCCCCCGCAAGCAGGCACCGCTGTTGATGTTCGTACACAAGGTGCAGTGCGGTAGAACCGTTGTTTTTTGTCAGTTGCGCTGCCCGTCAAGCCCCCCCCCCCCTCTCCATTCCCCCAGTTGCCAGTGTCTCATCGACGGTTTCAGTTGTTCCGATGTTCCGCCCAAAGTCCACGCGTACAGTACAGTACGGCGCCACCTTTCCGAACCAACCTTTCAAGCCAACTAGCCACCTGCGAAACCCGGAGCACCGACCCATACACTCGGTGCAGGAAGTGCTGTGAATGTCCGACAATCAGCACGGCGTGTACGATGAATAGCGTTTTTTTTTTTTTTTTCGAGGGGAAAGACCTGTGTACACAGTAGTATGGTGAAAAATAAACCCCCGCTACAAACGCGCCGCGTAATAAAACAGTGGCACGCCCCCGGGACGCTGGCAATGCCCGCCGAGGAGATGGAGGAGAGGAGGGAGGGGCTGCAGGCGTACCTGTCGGAGCTGTCGGGGCTCAAGGACTCCTGGCGGTCCGACGTCGTTACCGAGGTGCTCTGCTTGGCGGAGGACGACGCCACCTCCGCTTCCGCATCTCCCGCCGGCAACCAGGTGCAAGAAAAGTCTTTCGTGAGAAGCTGTCAGGATTTTTACTATTCGTTGTTCGTCTCGCCGACCTGCTGATGGACCGTTGTGGTTGACTGTTTTGTCGGGGTGGTGTTGATGCTGCGGTGTCCCTCTGGTCGATCATGCCGCCTTTGTCGTGTGTTCGTGGTCGGACCGGTTTTCTGTGGTAGTTGTGGATAATCGTCGGTGTCACTCATATGTTCCCGTTTATGCAGCAGCTCTCTCTGTCTCTGTCTCTCTGTTTCTCTTGCTCTTCTGTCTCTCTCTGCCTCTCTCTGTCTCTCTCTGTCTGGTCCGATCTGACGCATGATCTCTGAATGAAGCAATCTTTGTCCCTTTCCCTTTCCAATGGTCTGATCCGGCCGTCGTTGCTCTCGCCCAATGAACGCTCCCGTCCCGTCTGTTCGGCACCTGCCTGGCAGTCTACAGGAGAGATAATTCCAGGCTGGTTTCAATGTGCGCGGTGTTCTCTCACCGGTCGCTGACGAATCGCGCCCCAACCGAACACGACAACTGAACACTTCGTGGGTTGATTTTGCACCGCCCCTCATGACGAGTCCAGCTATCGCCATACTCATCGATCCTCTTTTCTTCTTTCGCGGTACCTCCCCCGTTTCGGTTCCCCTCTCCGGCGACGTGTTCCTCCCGTTTCCGCGTGACGCGCGCCGCAGGCCAACGAGGCTCAACCCCCGTCGTCTTCGGCCCTCCCTCCGCCTGTAACGAAGGCCGTGTCGTGGGTCGATCAGCAGACCCCGGCGACGGCGCTGACGGACTTCGCCGCCAGGCCGGACGAGGCGCCGCACTGCACCCCGCGAAGCCCGCCGCCGCCGCCGCCTCCGGTCTCGGCTCTGTCGTCGTCGTCGAAGCTTACCCCCCCATCGTTGTCGTTGTCATCGCCGAAGCCGACCGCAGAGGCCGCCGCCGTCGCCGCGGGGGCCCCGACGTCCAGCACCACCACTCCGGGTGGGGGTGCGGTGTCGGCGTCCGACTCTCCCGACGCCGCCTCTGGGTCGGTCTTGGAGGAAACAAGAGATGCCGACGTCGGCGAGGGCAGCGCGGCGGCGGCGATGGGTGCACCTGCCGCTGCTGCTGCTGCAGCGCCGGAGGACTCCACGCCAGCGGCGGCGGACAGCTGCGAAGAGAAAGGTCAAGAGCCGACGGCGTTCCTCTCCCCGCCGAAGGGGCCAGCGGACGCCGCCGCCGATGCGGCCGCTGTCGCAGACGGCCCCGCCGCGTCGCTCCTGCGGACTGAACCGCGGCTGCTGACGCGGCGGGTCAGGGAGCGGGCACGGAAGAGACTGGAACAGCAGTTGCACGCAGCCACGGCGGCGAAGCCGGGTAGTGGTGGTGGTTATGCTCCTGCTGATACCGCTGCTGTTGACCCGATCCCCGTTGCCGATTCTGCCGCCATATCCACACCGCCCGTCTCGTTGCCTTCCAGTCCGATTCGTCCCGCCCCCTTTACCGCCGACGAGCCAGGAGAGGCGAGACGGGTTTCGCAGTCGCACGATGTGGTGTCGGTGTCGTCGTCTCCCGCGGCGGCGGAGCAAGCGGAGAAGACGAGCGGCGTCCCACCTGCTGCTGCCATCCCGGGTGATGTGCCTGCTACTGCATGCGCGGTCGCCTCTCCAGCGGGCGAGACGACCGCTGCAGAGGGGGAGAGAAACACAGGCGGTGGCGAGGAGGAGGAGGACGGAGGGGCGGAGGGTGCCGCTACGGTCCAGCAACCCGGCATACCTTCTACGGCCGAGAAAGGGGAAACCCAAGGGGCGGCGGGAAGCAGCGGAGGGGGGGAGAAGGAAGAGCGAGAGGCAGCAGCCGAGGGTGGCTTGCCGGAAAGCATGGGGACTCCCGGGGCGGAAGTTCAAGCGGGCGAGAGCCTGTTGCCGTCGCTGCTGTTGTCTGCGCCAACGGCGGTGCTGACGGCGGCAGCTGTGCTTGCGGCCGAGATTGCCGCCGAGAAACCGGAGGACGAGGAGAGGCTAGGGCAGCAGACGGAGCCACCCTTGTCCGACCAGACTTCACCGGCGACCGCTCTTCCTGCAACTGAAACCGCTGGAAGTCAGGAGGGTCAGACGGAGGAATCGGTAGCTGTTGCTGCCGCACCTGTCGAGGACCAGACGCTCGCCGAAGACGAAGGGGAGGCCTCCGGAAGCGAGGGAGCTAGCGCCGTTGTTGCGACAGCTGCTGGTGGTGATACGGCCGAGATTGCCGCCGAGAAACCGGAGGACGAGGAGAGGCTAGGGCAGCAGACGGAGCCACCCTTGTCCGACCAGACTTCACCGGCGACCGCTCTTCCTGCGACTGAAACCGCTGGAAGTCAGGAGGGTCAGACGGAGGAATCGGTAGCTGTTGCTGCCTCACCTGTCGAAGACCAGTCGCTCGCCGAAGACGAAGGGGGGGCCTCCGGAAGCGAGGGAGCTAGCGCCGTTGTTGCGACAGCTACTGGTGGCCATACTGCCGAGATTACCGCCGAGGAACCGGAGGACGAGGAGAGGCTAGGGCAGTACACGGAGCCACCCTTGTCCGACCAGACTTCACCGGCGACTGCTCTTCCTGCGACTGAAACCGCTGGAAGTCAGGAGGGTCAGACGGAGGAATCGGTAGCTGTTGCTGCCGCACCTGTCGAAGACCAGTCGCTCGCCGAAGACGAAGGGGGGGCCTCCGGAAGCGAGGGAGCTAGCACCGTTGTTGCGGCAGCTACTGGTGGTGGTACCTCACCTGCCGGAGACTACACCGTCACCCTTTCGGCTTTAGATGCGCAAGACCCCTCGGACTCCGGAAGCGAGGAAGCTAGCGCCGAGGTTTCGGCCGCTAAAGGTAGCGCGGCACCTGTAGATGGCCGCACTCCGGCCCCGCCCGCGGAAGAGGTAGCTGCCGAGATGCAGGAGGGGCCACCGGCCGAGCATGCCGCAGCCGAAGACTCCGGCGCCGATGCCCAGACGTTGTCCATCCTGGCCGTCGCGGCCGCTGCTGCTGACGCGGCGGTGGAGCAAGAAGGCCGGGAGGAGAGAGACCGTGGGCACGCGTCCGCGGTGTCGGCGCTGACTCTGTCGTCCGCTACCGAAGACTACACTGAGGAGGCCACTCCGATGCCGGGACTCGCCCCCGCGGCATATTATGCTACCGCTGCTGCTGCTGCTGCTGCTGCTGCTACCGCCACTAGTGCCGAAGCTGTGCATGCGAAGGGCGAGAGCCGAGAGGCGAACGTGTGTTGCGCGGATGGTGCGGCTGCCGCGCCTGGCGAGCTTGCCGGCCAAACGGTGGACGCTCATCCTCCTACTAGCTTGCCCACACCCACCACGGCAACCAAAGGCCGAGCTTCCTTGTTGAACAGGTGCATATACTGTTTATTTGGGTGTATATCGTTTTGGGCATGCGGTCATTTTTTGCTTGGCTGTGTTGTTTGCCCCGCAGTTGAAACACGGTTTTTGCCGTGCCTTCGGGTGAGTTAGAAGAGCCTTGTTTTTTTTTGTACTGGTGTAGCGGTAGGTGATTATTTCCCTACCCCGAACACGAATGGGCCGTGACCCACACTTGGGAAGACGACATTGGTCGCCACCCCCCCCCGGTGTTTGCCATCGGGATTGGGTTTTCGTCGCTTGGCAACGACGTCGTAAAACATGCCGCCCCACCCGGTGTTTGCTTCACCCACTCCCCCCCTCGCGCACACTCCCCCGGTGTTTGCCATCGGGGTTTGGGTTTTCGTCGCTTGGCAACGACGTTGTAAAACAAGCCCCCCACTCGGTGTTTGCCATCGGGATTGGGTTTTCGTCGCTAGGCAACGACGTTGTAAAAGAAGCCAATTCACTTCGTGAACTCTGCAACCAGGTTACCGTTTTTTTTTTTTTTTTTGCGGTAACCATAATGGTGGTCGAGTAGATCATGTTGTGCGGGGTCGAGAAACCTCACTCCGCGCAACGGGGGATGATCGCACCACGTTGTATTAAAATGGTCAAGCTTCCTCGAGGCAGTTACACAGTGCTTACAATTGTCTCTGGAAGTGAAAGCACCAGAAAATAAATTAAGTCATACGTAGCTGTCATCCGTACGCAAGGAAGTAAGCACAAGATGCCGAACACCCTTAGCAGGATGCAGCTCACCCTTCATGCGACTCGCCAAATACCTCACGGCGCTTCGCGCTTGGTGATGTGAGAGCCTGGTCCGGTGAGAACCCGGCGTGCTCCGTCCCGGCTTTGTAGGGATGCGAGGTCAATGGTCAAACGACTACGGCATGCACGACTATGAGTACACCCCCCCCCCCCCTTCCCCCTCGTGCGCGCGCTTTTGGGTGTACATACGCGGCCACTGCGCCCCCGCAACCAACGACAACCAACCCCCACCATATCCCGCTCGCGCTTGTTCCACGTCGCAGGGCGAGGTGGTCACTGTCGAGCAAGAAGGCCACCGCCGATACCAAGCAGAAGGATGCCGCCGGCGCCGGCGCCGCTGCTGCTGCTGGAGGAGTAAACCCAGCTGAAGACCTCGCTCAAGAAGAAGCCGCCGCCGCCGCCGCCGCCCCCTCAAAGCCACTGTCTCTCTCGTCGACGACCACCCCCACGGCCGCTGGTCCTAGCGCCTTCACCCCGCGCACGGCGAGCAGGCTGGCATCGTTGCGCAACAAGGCCCGCGGGTGGCGGAAGTCCCGGGGGAGCGGCGGCGGCGGCGGCCGCGACTCCGAGGGAAGCGGGCCCTTGTCCGACGGCCGCGCTGGTGGCAGCAGCCGCGGCAGCGGCAGCGGGCCGCTTTCGGGGCGCAGGAGCTTGGGAGCAGTGGCTCGCAGGAGGACCGTCAGCGGACCGCTGTCCTTGTCCTCGGCGCGGAGCGGCAAGGGCGGCTCGAAGGGGTTCTTCTCCTCCATGTCGAAGAGCCCGGAGGCCGCTGCGGGGGACTCCGACGGCCACAAGGGGGAGGAGGGTCTTCCCGCTCCCGGGGAGGAGGAGACCGGCGGCGGCGGCGGCGTCTCTCCGGGAGGTCTCGCGCCCGCGAGCGGGTCGGCGACGGGGAACCCGGCGCAGACCGACAGTGACGACGGCGCGCTCGCGCCCGTCGGCGCCAAAGATGGCCCGGCCGCCGCTGGTGGCGGCGGCGGCAGCGGCTTCGATGGCTTTGCTGTCCCGCCTAGCCCAAGCGAGGGGTAGAGCAAAGACAAATCACGCGCGCACATCCATCTATCTTCTACCAATTAGCAACAGCTTGCCGTTCGTTGTGCATGCACGTCGCCGTTCTCTTTTGAATTTGTGCTCCATTTATTGGTGTGTATTTACGTGTGTTCGCGCTTTTTTCGTGTCAAAGGAGCCGGTATGTACGAGGATGCACGCACAAGTACTGGGCTGTGGTGCAGTCTTTTTTGTGTTGGGCGGAATAACCATACCTTCTTTACCCATTCCTTCGTTGTTATTTCACGACGGTCAGACGCACGTGGTGCGCTCATCCTATGTATCTGGGAGTCGTATTTGCATCCGAGCCCACTTTTCTGTCTTCCGTGTCTGGCGCTCTCGTATCATAACAGCATGTGTGAAGCAGCCACTCTTAAAGGGCCGTGAAGAGAGTTGTGCTTTGTTTCTGTTATTTGTTTTTCTGTGCCAATGTCGTGCTCTATTCTCCCCTCTCGTCATTCCACGGCGCGTGTCATGCCAAGTGCATCGTAGATCCATGTCACCTCCGTTGAAAATGGTGTTGTAAGTGTAGCTGTTGCAAATCCTAAGTTGGAGCAGTCGTCGTCCGCTCGCTTAGGGGCCATTTCGCCCCTAAAAGAGGGAGGTCGGGCCCGTGCGTGTTCGCGACGTTCGGTGAGCTCTTGTTACATTCCACGTGTGCGTTTTTTTGTCAGCATGACGCGTGCGTTCACACTCCCGTGTGTATGGCCCTCGTTATCGCGAACGTGGCTTTTTTCGTATTGCACCGGTATGGAATCATGCCGCATTTTTCGGCCTGTGCACTGATGCGATTTCTGTTCCTGATAAATGCTAACGGGCGGTTGTTTTCCTTTGTTCATCTGGGTGGGGCGGGGCTTATTAAGTTTTTTTTTTTTTTGTGCGTGAGGTACACGTGGGCGTTAATGCGGCCGCCGTGGCAACGGATCAGGATGTGTTCTTCCTCAATTCAGATAGCGCGCGTGCAGTCGTGCATGACATCTCTTTCCGTGTGCGTGTGTATGTCGTGGGTTTTTTGTTGCTTCAGAAATTATTAATAGCATCGATGCGCCAGCCGGCTGACAATTGAAAATACGCCAGGCTTCCTGCGGTTGCAAAAACGAAAAACGCCTCTACAGTGCATGAGTTGGGACCCCCGAGAGCACGGGGGGGGCTAGGCTTTTCTCCGGATTGAAGATAGAAACGGTAGGAGCTGAAGACAAATTCACTTGTCTAGACTACCTCACAGAGGTTTTTTGCCTTGGAGTATATTCTTTTGGGACTCTCCTTGTATGGTTGCTGGTTCTGTCCTCGCCGTGTTCACTTCTCTCCATATCTGTTGCATGTATTTCTGTTACTTCGGGCGTGTCTGTATGTGTTTGTCGTCCAATTTGTTCGGCAGGTCAGTCATACACCCTTTCGATTTACTCTCTGGAAGCAAGAGCCGGGGCTGCGCACTTTGTTTTTTGTTTCGTGCTGCGGCGACGGGCGGTGGGCGAGGTTCCTTCCTTGCGCTCTCCCATCGTACGCTGCGCTAGATTTTACGCTTTTACGCCCACACGCGCGGCAGCCAGCCTCCCCTTCGTCCCTGCCTCCTCTCAACGGTCAAATGAAAGATACCGTGCCACGAGCTGGCGTGTAGATGCGACTCCGGCAGACGACCGGTCGGTGTGAATATGATTACGGGTTCATCACCTGTGGGGCCGCCTTGAGGTTGTCGGGTTGGGTGGAACGGGTCGAAGAAGGTGGTACCGCGTATGATATTGGCGCGTGAGAGATGGGGCAACCACAGAATAATGAGTCTGATATGGAGGGTTCTTGATCGGCTACGGAGTAATAAGGCGGGTTGTGGGTGTTCTTGATCGGCCACAGAGTAATAAAAGCTGGTATGGTGGGTTCTTGATCGACTACGGGTATTCGACGGATGTACGGGTTGTTGACGGATATTAATCACGTACGGGGAGTATTAGCACTTCATGGTATCCTCTCTTTGGATGGGCAGTTTCGAATGATCTGGGACTGCTAAGTTCTTCTCGTCTTCCAAGTGAATAAATACCATCTAGCACATCCATGACGATGTTTTCGCTGTTTCGCGGGGTTTCTTTTGCGTCGCTTTTTCGGGTTCGCGAATTTGATGCGGTGTACCATTTCGAATGATGAGCGACTAAATTCTCGAACATCACTTCCGTTGGGGAACAACATCTTCAGGCAGAGGTTTTCAATGCTCCGGAGTGTGTGTTGCGCCGGGTTTCTTCAAGAGGAACGACCAAGAGGACGAAGGATCATGTTCCGTAGCAAATCAACACTACTAGTGGATGGCCCACGTCATGATCACACACAGGTTTCTTGTGGGTGACCCAGGAACACAGCGATTGGTCATCCGAGGGCAAGGGGGGGAAGTAGACGTGAAGGCGGCTTGCGTTGCTTTAGCGTCAAAGACGACCAAGAATCGGCCCCATTCTACTCATTCAAACACGCAGAAGGTAGCCCTGCCTTAGGGTTAAGGTTGAAGCTGGCGCGGAGGGCTCGAGAGTTGATGGCCCACGCCCCTCCCATACAATATACCACTACTGCCATAAGGAGCCGGTGCTGATTTTTCTTTTTCCTTTGTCTTTCGATCGCCTGTATCCCCCCCGGTTAACATTTTTTTCTTTTTGATTTTTTTTAATTTTTTTTTTCCTTTTTGTTTGGGTAGAAAAACAAATCTCGCCTTGGAGAATTTTTTCTGGTGTCCATTTTTTATTTTTAGAAGGTGTACCCCCCACCTTGGGGGGCAGTTGGCTTGTGACCACGGAAGGCGTCCGCGTCAGTTGTACTGTTATAGTACGGACATCAGGAGGTACTGAGCGGAGACCGGAACGGTTTGTAATGTGAAGACAACAACAACAACAACAACAACAACAACAACAATAACCTACTGCTGATTCTACTCTGCGTGTTGTCCGTAAGGTGCGGGAGCACGCGGCCCCGCTGCGCGCATGACGGCGACGTGAGCTGACTTGCATCCCGACACGCCGGCCTCCCTCAAGTACAGGCCCAGCCGGAATCTCGCGTCCTTGAACACCTCTCCCGTGTTGTAGCCAAGCATAGGGCAGTGCCCCCGCGAACGATCGTGGGGCAGGAACTGATCAAAATGTGCGGCTGTCGCCACTGAGGGCAAGGAAGGGCAAATGGACGGGGGGTGGTTTGTGGTGGAATACACGTGATTAGCCAACTTGGGACTTTGACAAAAAAGCTTAACGTGTGCGTTGTTGTTGTTGTTGTTGGTGGTGGTGGTGGTGGTGCTGTTGCTGCTGCTGCTGCTGCTGATAGCGTCTGCGAGGGGACAGATTTTGCGCGCCAAAGCACACCGTCCGCCAATCATGATTCGCCTGCGCTATACGGTCCAACCCCACCACCCCCGCTGTCAATATACCACCAGTCACCAGTCGTTGATCACCTGTGATATGGTCAAGCTTGGCCTCGGCGTTGGCGCAAGCCTCGGCGTACGGAACGCTCGCCGCCAGCCTCTGTAGGACCTGCATCCGCTTCTCCTCCAGCTCCTTTGCTTCCTGTTCCCGCCTCTCGCGTTCTTCCTGAAAACACCGAAGAAGAACCAGCCATCACCGCCGGCGCCGATACAATAAGACAAGGAGCGCGGTGAAGGGTGCGTGGGGGGGCAAGCAAGCAAGCAAAACCTGGTAATCTACAGCATTTTCTATCCCCTCCACAGTGGCAAACAAACGTGTTGACGGACGTTGTCCGCTTTCTTAAAAATATTGCTGAAACTGGAAGACAGCCATCTACATATGACGGAAGGCGTTCGACGACATGTCGGGGGCGGGGGCGTCCAACCAGAGCTTGTACCAACCCTCCAGATGCCCATCGTTTGGCGGTGCGTATACGTGGCCTCGCCTGACAAAAATAGCGTCGGTCGTCAAAGTGCATCCTAACTGCATGCCAGAAGACAGTTCTAGTGGTAAGCCGCCCACAGGGCGCGGCATCGATTGATGCGAAACGATTTAACAGACAACCGGTAAGGTTCACACGAACGCTGATACACCTGTTTTTCACGTGCTTTTTCCTGCCGGAACCCAACCCTTTTCCGGTTGACCGGCACTCGCTGGGCCCGCTCGGCCTCCTCCGCCCTGGCTGCCGCCTCGCATGCATCCGTCTCTCGGGCTCTTAGCTCTTGTAAACTTGCACTGCAGGAGTACGTATTCACGGCCAACGCGTTGGTCGCCAGACGGGGGCAGTTAGTCTACCGCATGTGTTTAGAAACGCGAGGAAATCTGAGTTATAGAAGTAATGTGCGATGGGGGCTGCCACCAGCGCCTTCTTGCAAGACATGACAACTCCGAGCTGAAAGCATCCAGCCCACCTGTCTTGAGGTTGCTGATCTCATTGAGACCATTACCGTCTTTTCGCGTTACAACCACTGCCTTCAAGGTTTGCGGAGGAGAAACCCGTACCGATCTAAATTGCCAACCAATAGCATTCAAAAGCGTACCCACGGGAGCCACCACCCACCAGTTTATTTCACCTCGGCGGCTGCTGGTCGAAAAACGCTCCCCCGTCCAACACATCTGTTTCGTCGCTGAGGAATTTGACTCACTGGTATTGCGCTACGGCGCTCCGTTTGCGCTCGTCTTCCAGCGCTTTTCTCTCCGCCTCCTCGGTCTCTCTGACAACCCTGTCCAGCAACGCCTTCTCCACGCGCTCCCGGCTCTCCTTCTCTCGGCGCTCTCGTGCTTTCCCTTGCTCTCGCAGCAAGCTGTGCCACCAGACGACGGTTGTTGTCGAGACAACAAAGGCAACGTTGCACAGAGAGAGCGCCTGAAGTGAAAGAGTCCGGACCATTGGTCACGGAGTAGCGGCCTTGGATGTTGGTGATCAAACCTTCACCGCAGTTCTTTCTCTCCTCACGAATGCAAACCTTAAACTTTCTTCCTTTCCATCCTTCTTGCAGCTGGTGACGCGACTGGTTTGTCACGTCATCCCCAGGCACATTCGCACAACCCCACCGTGTGCGAAGAAGCACAGGAAAGCCCGGAGGCGCCAGCAACACTGAACGGAGCTAAACAAAGGGCACCGGAGCTTGTTGGTGAACCTACAGTACCAACAGTACGAACGGGTGTTCTCAGATAAGTCGGGAAAGACATGTTTTAGTTTGATCTGAAAACGCATTTCATGTGAGTCAACTCACTTGTCGAGTTCCTTGCGCCTACGTTCGCGCTCTTCTTGCTCGATCGCCCTCGCCGCCGACTCCCTCTCCTCGTTACGCAGTGTCTCGAGCGCCTTCTTGCCCCAGATAACAAGTTCCTCCACTTTCCGCGCGTGCCTCTAACAAGCCCAAAATATGTCGAAAGGGCGGTCGGTCCTCCCCCCACCCCGCTATCAGATAATATGGGGAAAACCACGCACTTTAAGACCATGCCCGTCCGACTTGCCTTAACGTTTGATCTCTCAGTAGATCCAGGGCCACACACAGCTTTTGCGTCCTATTGCTATCACTGTCACCGCGCAGAAGCGACATTGCATCCATGCCGCACCTGCTTTTCGGCTCTCTTCTTCGCTAGGAAGACGCCTCGCAGACGGTACCAAGACTCGTGGTTGGATATCTCGGCGGGAAACACCCCAGGCAGGCCGGCCACCAGACGCTTCGTCGTGGCGCCGCTCGAGTCTGACGAGCCACCTAGGTACCCACCGGCACCGCCGACCGCTCCACCGGTGGCTCCCTTCGCAGCCTTGATAACTTTCATGAACCTTTGGATTGGTTGTCGAACGCATGATGATGCTCATCAGAAGACAACGGAACAACAGAAGCTCAAGACGCAAACGCACTATTATTCTGCCGCAAAGGGGGCTTGATAGAGAACCCTGGGCCGTTTAGTCTCGTATGTTGTAGAGCCGTTAGAAACGAGCCGAACGGCTGCGTGGATGAAGAGCTCAAACCGGAAAGACAGACAAGAGTTGGCTGTGAAGGGAAGGCAAAAAGGGGGTGGGACGCCGGTGACGCTGCTGCAGGGTTGTTCCTTTACTCGAAAAACTCGTGAATCTCACACACCTTTCTATAGCTTGGTCTCCACAATTTTTGGAGCACTTTCGATGAGCAGTTCTATGGAAAATGCGGTCTAACCTGAAGTGCCGGTCGGAGGGCCAGCCGCCGTTCTGATCGAGCGCGGCCTCCGCGCTACCTGCAGAAGTCGACCCCGCCGCATCTCGCAGGAAGTCGCTACGCAATGCGGTAAGCGTTGAAACATGTTGGGCCTCGAGAGCCTGCAGCCTGAAACACCCACGAGCGCCGTATGATGAACGTCAGGGAGGGACCAGAACGGGCTATCAATGATGGCCAAAGTCTCTAAGAATTCCGCCCCTACCTAGGGTGCCGCCGGCGAAAGGGCTGAGGCTTTTTTTCGAGCAATCCATTTATTTGCTCATGCTTCTAGAGGACTGGAGAGCATAGCTGGTGCAGACTCTGCCTCGATATTTTAAGAGGTTACCCCTAACGGTGCCGCGTCTAATGGTGTCAATGTTTCAAAGTCAATAACCAACCACCCGGGTGTTTGCCGGACTATATCATTTAGCACTACTAACGTCGCGGACGCCTCGCCTGCTGGAGATTTCCAAGCGCATCATTGCTCCGTGAAATTCGTCAACGCCCGAGTCTCCGCTGACGTCAGCACTCTGCTCCCATTCGCTGAACCCAATGCTAGCTAGCACTGAAGCGAACTCAGAGGACCAACGGTCTGCTCGGTCTTGGGAGAGCGCCAAAGCCAGGGCCCGCTTCGAGCTATCCACCTCGGCTTCTAACTCTCTCGACCGTTCAGCGAGATAGGTTCCAGCCTTTGTATGCGCCACACGTGCCTGGGTTTCAGTGAGACGACCACGTGCCGATACTCATGCTTCCTTTCTTAGAGTTGTGGCGGTTGCCTACCTCGGATTATCTGACAGCTGCAGCGAGTCTCGGCAGCTGCAACGCATCTCGGCAGCTGCAACTAGAACGCGGTCGGACAGAAAGTGTAAAAGAGTTTGCATGTTGTGGAACGTGTTACTTCTACGGCATTGCCACCCGAACCCCAACGCCCTCCCCAACGCAGTGCTTATCTTCCCTGTTGCCGCGAGAAGGGGTCAACTGTCCTATTCCCCTCGGATTTGTTCCCCACTTCGTGATCAATGATTGCTTAATGTCGCTCTATACATGTCCTTTATGCACCAGATTGTTTCGCTTCTATTCTCCAGTACTCCTTCTTTTAGATGCAGCTCTCCTTTGTACTGCGTGTTTCTGTTGTCACGTTCGGCTTTCAATCTGCATTTCGAATCCCTCAAGATCTCCTTGCTCGAGAGTGTTTGTGTGATAGCGTGTTGCAATTGGAGCGTACACGACAACAGAGTAGCGGGATGTGACCGAGAACGGCGTGGTTAAGCGCACTGCCATCGCATCGCCCACACAAGCAATGTAACACCGGCCAATTACACCACAAATCCACCAACCCGTACTTACAGTACCGGATGTACAATAGAAACCACCGTCTCTTTAGTTGCCTCGCGTCTGCGGCAGGCATCGAGTGTGTGGTGTTGTCACCTGAACAAGCAGCTCTGCCACGACGCCTTCTTGGGACCCGCCGGTACTCTTGGACACGAATTCCGCGACAATAGCCCTAAGCTCTTGGATGTGAGAGCGGTCGGCTTGCAAATCTGAAAGTCGGTCTCTCTCCAGTTCTTGCGCACTCGCATAGAGGTCGGCAAGCTCTTTCGGCACATGCGGCGGCCGCTGGGGTGATGGCTGTGATGCTCCAGTACTACCCTCTGTTTGTAAGTCGAGATTGATACCGTTCGTCGAGATCCCATGCGACTCACTCCCGCCGATGGTACTTGTGTCTCGATCATGGATCGTAACGCCTTCGCCAGTTGGTGAAAAGTTAGGCCCACCCCAAGCCGGGGCGATAGGATGACAGCCTCCGTTCCTCTGTGTAGATGCCTTTAGAAATACCTGCAATTTGATAATTCAGCAGCACCGGTGCGCTTACGTCGATACCGCTACGCTCATGACAACCATACGGCGCGTGACAAGCTCCAACCGCAGAATTTGTTTTTATTTCTGCCATCTCTTCGTCAACCCTCTTTCGCAGAGTTCACCTCATAACCTATCTTGCCTCTCGCTAAAGAGCTCCACGATCCAAGGTCACAACGTCACACGAAAGACTCCGATACCTCGTGAGAAGGATGCAACGGTTCCTTCCAAAAGTGTACTCACGAAGAAGCGGAAGCAACCACTTCGCCGTGATTCGAATTGCCGAATCCTTTGCACTGGACGACGTTCGAAGTCAGCAGCTACCATGCGTAGATCGTGTGCAGTGATACAGTAGTATGGAAACAAACGGTTGTTGATATACCTTTGATGACACAAGATATCGCACCCCCTACACCGATTTTCAAAACCCGATTGCTCCACACCAGAAAGAGCGATGAAGCCGAAACGGCAGCGTTGAAACCACCTGCTTAAGAGATTTCTGAAAGCGTGTAAAGTAATTGTGGATTCCTCCTCGTCGTGGTAGCCGGGCTTTCAGAATCTGACGAGGGGGTGTGCTATCTTCTGTCGCCCTACGGCAAATAGACAACCCGTTTGACGATCACATGACAATCAGCCATAGACTCTAACGCCGAGCGGCCGTGCGCTTGCCAGTAGCTACCTCGATCGATTTCGTGAGCTCCTTGCTCGCGCATTGAAGTTGCGCATCCTCCTGCTGCCAGTCTGCTTTCCACCGATCCTGCCGCACACGCTTCTTGTGCCGCAGCTTGAAACTCGTAAGGCGATCCAGCGCCTGCACCACCCGCAAAGCACAGTGTAAAAACTGCAGGTATCTTCATGGGCCCTCGGAACGCTACAGGTGTGCGTGTCTTGCTATCCGTCTACAATCCGTGACGCCTACAGGAGTGTGTGTACCTGTGTGTACCGTTCCCCGTTGGTGTCATCGACATGCGGCGGATCTTGTGCTCGGATCTCCGCGGTGTCCAGAGCGTGCAGCTGTCGGAAGGTCCTGATTCTCGCTCCCCGATCTATCTGCATGGACCTGATCGCGCCCACATTTGACCTCGAATTAGTTGAACTCATATGTACCCCATGTACGTTTACCGCCTTGCTTGTGTCCAGGTACGTGGGAGGAGAGAGCACTACGCGCGCCAACAACGCAACAACACATGCCAAAATGCGGTGCAACTGATGACGTTTCGAACACATCTTGTGACGATGCACCCACAGCTGCGTATCCGAGGGGGGCAGAAAAGACGTGGATTTGCACTTACATATGCATAGGTAAGAACTCCAAAGGGGAGTCTAGTACGGCCGTATGTCGAACTAGTGTGACAGTATGTAATGGGGTTTCGAGAAGATGCAGTCTCTCTCGAGGCCACCGGATCTAGAAGCGATGCTGGCGGCACGAGCACCGGGCTGCTGCCATCCAGGTGGGTAGCAGCAGCGCTATCGGGACAAAAGAGCAGCAGCATTCGCAATGCCGATGCCGAAGCTTCCTCGTTGTGGAAGAAAAAATGGGCGGGGATGCGCCTGGTGGACACCGTGAAACTCGACGACTCTGGCGAGGTCGAGAGCTGGGTCTTCACCGCGAAGACGGGCCATGTCACGAGCAAGAAAAGGGCGCAAGGTCCGGCCAAGATCGCCGAAAGATTCGATAGTTTTGCGCTGGCGAATCCCCGAAATACCGAGAGATTTGTTGCCCTGCTAACACCAACACGCCCCCGAATTGGCGAATACCCGGAGGAGCGCGTCGTCTTAGACCAGCAGGCTTTGCGAGAGGCCATACTGCTGGCCGGATCGTCGCAGGAGATGCCGCAAGAGGTGTTAGGTGCAACACTCCAATGTTACCTTCGACCGCAAAACGGATCGAACTCTTTCTTGCGGGCATGCTACCACTGCCAAGGAGAGGAAGGACCACCCTCTTACTCTCTACATAGGGTTTCCCCGTTGTATCGAGTGCCAGATTCGGTAGACAAACTCGCCGCTGCTGAAGGTGTCGCGGTACCTAGGAACGAGTCGATCGTCGAGGGCGACGATCCGGAGTCCGTTAGACTTCGAAGCGAGACGGAGGGAGCCCTGGGCAGCCTTGTAGCATTCCTGACCACACGACTCGCTTGTGAGGTTGGCAACGAAGGCCAGCAGCAGAAGGTTCTAACGTGCAAAGCTGATTTTGTTGTTGACGACAACGGAGAGCTCTGGCTGACTTCTTTGCCTTCCGTGACAGTGCCATCTACGCCAGGGATTGGACCGTCAAATCCTTCTATTCTAAGTTCTGAACTGTCTACCTTTCCTTCATCAGACGATACCACCCGTTCGAGAGAGGAAAGGCAGGGTGATATTGACGACGGCAAGGGGGGTGGCGTGGGAGTGTCTAGCCCGTCTTCAGTACACATGCCCCCCCTCCTCGGCAATACACCTGTTGTTCCGCAAATCGCTGCCCCCCTCGATGGAAGTGGCAGCACTCCTCTAGGAAGTGCACGACGTCAACCAACGTCGGCAAGATCAAACGGACAGTCGATCGCGGAAGATGTCTCTGTACGGAAGCAGCTCGCAAACAATGAGGGTTCGTCGATGACAGGGGAACTCCCCGCGATCCCTTCGACTATGCTGGGCCCGAGGAGTGCCTCTGGTGATCACAACAGTAGGTCTAAAGGGGAGGAGGGGGAGGGAGAAAGGGCGCCCATCATTGAGAAGAAGAGAGGAGTGTACGTGGCAAACGTTCACTCCAGCGCCTTACGCGGGCTGTGCTGCTGGCGTGAGGTGAGTCGAGGGGCCACAAAATGATCCCAGACCCCCGTGAGGAGTAGGTCGAGACCTACTCGGTTCGCGTTCAGAGAGATTCTCTACGTCATGCAGGAACACATGGACTGTTTACCCCCCCTGCACCTGCCGAATGCAGAGACGAACAATGATCGTTTGAAGGCCTTTAACACGTTTGTTTGCATGGCTATTTGCTGATGTGTGCTTTGTTCCCCTCCGCTGGGCGCTGTGTGCGTGTTCATCAGTAATGCCAATACCAGCCTGCACCTCTCTCAACCTTCGTGTCGTCCCCTGTGTTCATTACTCCCTCATATGGTGGCTTGGATGGATCTATCCGGCCACGCATTCCGGCTATTTAACCACAGCGTCCAGTGGACAGGAGAGGGAGTGCCTCGCATGGCCGAGACTCGCCAAGGTGGCAACTCGTGGAGGCCCGCTACAAGGGAAACCTCGCCAGCGAGGAGCACCGAGGAGACGGAAGTGATGCTGGCAACGCCAAGGCTGTCTTCGAGGGCTCGTCTTCGCCTGCCTCTTTCGATGAGTTGTCTAAGGCTCGGTTTAAGGTGAATTTTGGTAGACATTCGGAGCTTATTGTCCATACCAAATCCTCCTTCGAGTTGAAAGTTATATTGTAGCATTGCAAAATTTCGAAGCTGTAGCAAGCTCTTCGCCGTAGGGCTGATTACTGTGCACCGTCACGGGTACATAGTAGCAGAAGATCGGCATGGGCGTCTCAACGACGTGGGTACGAGCGCTATTTGAAGGCGTCACCAACACATGCCGTAGGATACACTGGAAAATGTCCCGAGGACAACAGCAGCAGCTCAGGCAGTGTTGACTGCTGTCGGTTTGGCGTTTGTTACTTTTATACATAGAACAAAGAGAGACCCAACGTGCACACCTTTGGACGTGCCACATGATGTTCTGACCACCCTCCCCTCCCTCCTATGAACAACCTCCCTGCACCAGATGACAGCGCGTTCAGTGCTCCTAGCCAGGGCTGTAGAGTCGTTTCTGTGGGGGGAGGAGCCGCTGCATATCGGTGCCGACGACAGAAAACCTGGCTCCGGTGTCAAAGGTGGCAGCGGTACCAACTGTTCTCTTTCACAGCGCTGGCGGGAGTACGATCAACAGGTTCAGCTTTCCTTAGCCAGCGCAAATCCGCAGGTGAGAGAAAATCAATTGACGCAGCTAAAAGCTTATTCTCGGCTTCAAAACCGGCGGCGCTCGACGTGAACGAGGACGGGGTTTTGATGAGGCTGGACTGGGCGTCGACAGAATGCCGCAGCAGAGGGGAGAGTGAGGTGGATAAGAGGAGGGGGGGCGGATTAGGAGAAGGTGGATCGTGCGGCAACCTTCATAATCCAGGCGAAACGATTCAAGTGTCCGAACTGATGATCATTAAATAGTGATGTGAGCACTACCTTCAAGCCGTTTTCGCTGGTACATGTTTAGCTATCACGTTCTTGCATGTTTATCCCTAAACACCACTCATTATTTGCAGCTCTAGTACGAGCAGGTCGGCGTTGGCTCCATATAGAGAGCGACGGCTTGCACGGTTGGAAGCGAGACCGGCTTTTCCTGGCTAGCGTCCTCATCCATCCAACTACAACTCTACAGTAACCCACCCTCCCGCACAATGTAAGGCGTTTCTAGAGACAGCATCTTGAAGAAGCACCCATGCGAGTGAGCATTCCATTCCACCCCCTGCCTTCCCCACGCTAACGGCGAACGTAATGATTCGAAGCCTTGCCCCTTCCTGTCTCTTTGGTTGCAGGCATACTACGACGAAGTCACGGTGTGCGGAAACTGCATGGAGATATGCCGCAAGCTTGATTCCATCCGAGCCTCGGGCTTTCCGGACCCTGCCGGTGCCGCTCTTGCCGGTGGTGCAACCACCGCTGGTGCCACCTGGTCCAGCGGGGATGCTAGCAGCTTGTCGGGCGAACCCGCTCTGCGACCGAGGTCTGAACCGCTCCCTGAGTGCATCGCCGCAACAACAGGAAACGAAAGACGGCCGGGCACAGCAGCAACGGGACGCGAGGCTGGCGCCGCTACTATGACTGCGGATAATTCTCGTCCAGGACCGCCAGGAGAAGCGGTGGATCCCGACGGAAACACAAACCATGAAGGGAGAGATGCAGTCGTCATGGAAAGAGATACGCGAAGGGATGACGGCTTGGAAGGTTCGCAAACAGTGCGACCGAACGAGAATGCTGAGAGTAGCGGCACCAGCTTGGGGGAGTCGATGCCCAAACGTTCTGGAGGTGAAGTCCCCATGAGTGCTGGACCAAAATCAGAGAAGGACATCGACATCACCGCAGAAGGGAACGAAGAAGCGGGGTTGGTAAGAGCGCCTAGAACGGCGCGCTCTGGCAACGAAAAGGCTTCGCCCGTGCGCCTCGAGAAGGTGACGATGCTCCTGCCGAATCACACGGCAGCCAAATCAGCATAGTACAGAAATATTATGGTGAAACCAGGCTCGGTCATGACGTACAAGGCAAGCGCACAAGAAAGCACGCAACGTTTAGAGACAAGGTTAGGTTATAAGGAGCAGATCGTCTGTGCGAACACCCCCCTGCTTGGGCTTGCAGTACGCAGGCATCAACCATATCAACCGTGTGCCGATGATTTCCGACGGGCCGTCACCATGACCCTACCGTAGACCAACGGAAGAAAGCCCCGACTTTGATCCAATCATGTCCGCGTCCCTCAACATGCTTCTTTAAATCACCAATCAGCGAAACACCGCGAAAGCCACCATGGAGCGTATGTCAAGCGTTTACGGCGAGGGCACCATAGCGGGCGGGAGAAATCATGCAAAATCAGGTGGCAGCAACAAGAGCAAGAAGGGCACCAGCAGGAAAACAGGCGGCGGCGGTGGTGCTGTTGGCGGCGAGTTGCCAAATGTGGCAACCATCGCGCGCTTTGCCATCGAGCGCGAGCGACTGGCGCGAGAGATGGGGGTAGACGAACTAGGCGGCCCTGCTTCCCTAGGAGTTGTGAACGTTGGTGTGACTGCAGCGGCACACGGGCATCGGCAGAAGAAGGGTAACCTCAACGACGAGGTCGGGGGTATCGGGAGCAAGCGGGTCAAGAACCACCAGCAACGGAGGGGCAGGGGGGGTGACGTCGATGGTAGTAACGGAGTCGGAGACTACCGTATCGGCGAGAAAACCGTTAATCCTTTGCCTGCAGCATCGGGAGCTTTGGCAGGCGAGAAAATCGCCGGAGAAACGCTGCTGGACAGGCTGGAAAGCGTCGCCGAGGCCAGAAGTATTGAGTCAGCCGGCGGCGTCCACGGAGGTGGCAGCCGTGCAGAAGAATACATAAAACACGACGACTGGCGCCACAACGACGAGGAAGAATCATCGCTTTTCAGCGATCCCGCAAGAAAGAATGGACAACGAGCGGCCAGAGGAGAAGCAGCATGGGACCCCGTGCCTCCTCCTTTGGCCGCAGAGCTTTCCACGACCGAGTCGGCGTTCTTGGAGCGTTCCCGACGGCACGTTCGCCTCGACGGCGGAGGCGCAGCTGCGACGGGGTTAAGGGGTGGCGATGACTCCCTGTTTGGCAACCACTTCGAGGCGGGCTTCCGGAACGAGAGCGGCGGCGTCGATGGCAGCGGAAGCAGCGGCGGTGGTCGCGGCGATGGGGGTGGCGGGGGGCATGTCGCGACAATAGCCGCACTGCGAGATAGGCTTGCGAGCGTGGAGGGCGAGAACGCCGCACTGAGGGCGAGGGCCCGGAGAGCGGAAGAGGAGCGGGCGGCGGAGGCAGCCAGGGGTGACAGGGCTAGCAAAAAGCTGGCACAGGTGATGGGTGCCCCGCGCTTGTTTCTTTGACGCGTGAGGTTCCAAGGCGGAGTTGAGCTTGACTACGGCGAAGAGTGATTTGGCTGAGGTAAACGGTGGACGTTCCTTTCGCCGTGCCTGTCGAAATTTTTCTTGCGCTGATATTTCGCTCTCGTGTGATATTGGCGTTTCAAGCAGTCGGCCCTTTTTGTGACTGACGACGGCATTGGTTGGGTCGACGTGCACCACAGACGATGTCGTATATACATAGCCCGATCAGATGAAAGCTCTACTAATGAGAGATGGAGACTTCGATTCATGGAGTATATCAAGTCACTACCAAGCTTCCTACTCACCCGTGAAGCGTACCGTCTTCCTTCCACCTTTTGGCATCCTCCCTGATATCTCGCCAAGTACCAGGTCGAGCGACAAGGGAAAACGCATCCCAACCCCTTCACTATGAACCGACCGATCGGTAGAAGAATACCATCACCACCCCGAATAGAATTCAATAGCTGGGAGGATAGACGAACATCCCACGGGGCCAAAGGACACGTTGGTTTCATAGCGAACCTCTACGCCAATACCACCCTGGGCCCGCCATTTTCACGCTAATTTTTGTCTCAGATAGACCCCAAACACTGCAACTGTGAGTGCAGGCGCGAACGGAATTCTCGCGGGCCATGTCGGAGAAGGACGAGGATGGCCGCCGGAGGGAGCTGGCCTTAGAGGAGAGACACTCTCGAGAGCTAGCAAAAAAATCGCAGACTTCTGCCGAAGAGATGATGGTAGCGGTATCGGGGTCGGGCGAGGAGAGCGAGGGGTTGGGAGCCGGCCAGGGCGGTGACAGGAAGGCTGTTGCACCGGGCGCGATGGAGCGCAAATCTAGCAAGGTGAACAATAATCGGCCCATTCATCATCCAATCAATCGATTCGTCTATCAACGCCTTCCTTGCTGGGGTAGTTCGGCCGCTAGATATCGGACGTACCCATATGGCAGTCTGCATTGTGAGCTAGTCGCTTGCAGATGTGGCAAGGCCGACGCAAGCCGAAGACAGCAAACGGATGTCGGTCCGAATGTACCAATAGGCCAACCTTCGTCGAGAAATGACTAAGAATTTGATTCCGCAAAAAAGCGTGGTTGGAAAGGGTCGGTCGATGTAGATAGGGCGAGGTCTTTATTTTTTGGTTGATATCGTCAATTGACCTTATAACCACGCATTCCTTTCGAGACGGTGGGGCGTTACTGACCACCCTGAAACACGCATTACTTTCGAGACCTAGGGCAGATCCTTATCCCGACTAACATACCTCCAACATTTGGAAAGAACGGAGGGAGAGATCAGTCTTGCCACCAGCGCCTGATGCTTCGCATGCATACATCATAACACCGCAAGAAATATGTACGGATAGTCTTGTCGTCTACTGCGATATGTCGTTCACTTGTGCCCACATTCCGCCACCCCTGGACACAACAAGCTGAGGCCGTGTGTATTGTCCCACTTCCACCGGCATTGTCTTGCCAGCGGAAGTTCCACACCATAATATACCGGATGGATGTCCTTTGGGTGAACCTCCTTCTCATTAAATGCCTCTCGTACTGCGTGTGACATTGTTTCAGAGCCTGATAGCACGGTTGGATCAAGCCTTCCGGGACATGGCCGAGCAGCAGCGCCGCTTTGCTCAGACCAAGCGAAATCTACTCGCCGAGAAGACTATGGAGGTGCGCGTGACCATCAACACGATGAGAAACGAAACACGTGCTTTGTTCTGTGATATTCCTACTAATCGAGGGGTCAGGAAATCAGGCAGATAAGGCCCAGTAGTGAAGCATCGTTTGAGATACTTCGTGTAAATATGCTGCAAATATCCTGTTGGCAAGCACGATCACGCCGCGCTGTTCCTCACCACAGACTCACAGCGTAACGACCGTCGAAGAACCTTTGTTGAAAAACCTATGAAATCATGCTAGACATGTACTTTGGCTTCGTCCAGGCAGCCAACTACCCGTCCAGTCCGCACCCAGCCGCTTGATGCTGATGGATTCTCGTTCAGACTTTGGCGGGGTCGCAAGCATAGGCGCACCTTGTTTGTTCGTGGCACACGTACTCGTGAAAACAGTCACGCCTGTTGTCCCAGTCTCCTGTGTGTCGCTTCCAACAGCTCAGGCAATCTCATTTGGCCGAGAAGGCATTATTTTCTAGCCTGCCTTTCCTCCAACAATAGCTCTGCGTTCTCGGACATAACCCCCCCACTACACACGCATACAACACGAGCCGCGCCTTCTTGACCCAAATGTGATCGAAACGGCCAAAACCGTACGCCATCCAGGTAGCCGCTGCCGAGGCAAAGGGGAGGCGCGAGCTCCAAGAAGCTCGAACCTTGGCGGCGGCTATGGAGGACAAAGCTTCTTCTCTACAGGAGCACGTAAGCGAACACTCGGATACCAGGGAGAGAGGAGTCGGGGTTAGGGGGAAGGAGAGTGATCGATAGGTTGTTCGCTTTGACCGAAATAACTATTATCTAGCGGAGTTTCGAGCCCTGCAATACGAGCCGGGCGCCATCGACGATTAAGAAACTTCGTGCTACAATTGCAATTGACTGAGCAGGTGTCGGAAGCAGCGAAGAAAATCTCGACCTTCAAGGCGATGGAAGAGGAGCAGAGGAAGAGGCGCCAATCCGCCGAAGAAGACACCGAGAAGATCAGGAAAGTGAGGAGCAGCTCTACAGATGCATTTTATGTGTAAATATTCTCAAAATCAACGGTCGGAGTGCATTCACTCTCCTAAAGTAGTGTTTACCAATGCGCTTGTCCCACTGGACTTCGTGATAGTATGCCAATTACAAGCATCTGCGCGGGTGGGCTGTTGTGCTCGTGGTACGTTTCATAACACCTATTGCATGAATACGATAACTCTGATATGGCCACCATCGTGAAACCTCAAGAATCATGTAATCGCCCGCTTGTGCGGCAGAAAGCACAGACCGACCTGGTCGCAAGTTATGCCTGCAGCACGCACTCATACCCCGCTTCCCTGCCGACACGACCCGGAGCCCTTTGATCCCGGAGGGAGCCAGCCATTGTTGTGCGGGAACCATGCCAACAAATCGCCCTCCCTCGGAACAAGCGAGCCGCGCTAAATCCTTTTCAGTCAAGACGTTCTTCCTCACTCTCTACCTTTGTGCCACTCATGGCGCTCACGGCAGGAAATAAGCGTGCTGCGTCAAACTGTGCAAGCGAGCCAGTCGGTGGACGTGGCAGACGAATCCGGCGGGCGGCGCGACGCGCAGAGCACCTTGGCAGCCGTGACGGCCACCTCAGAGGCGAGGATTCGTACGCTCAACAACAAGGTGGGCGCGGCACGATGTGGCAGAGTAGGTACAGGAGAGAAGAGAGGCTGGATGGGCGCGGGGGTGTGCTCCGGTTCAGTTGGGGCTCGACGACGTTTGGGTGAACGAAAAGCAGGCGATGTTCAATAAACTAACCTGCACATCAATCGGTCAATTTACTATCCTAAGAATCTGAGAACGAACCACTGCATCCACCCTGTTTCTCTTCCAGACATGCCGTTTACAACTCCATGCCCTTTCAATATTCAAGGTGGATTTTCTGAAGGCACAGCTTGCCTCCGAGCAGACGCTGAAGGCGGAAGTCGAAGCTGCCCTCGGTGAGCGGTCAACAACAACTTTAACTTTTGAATTACACCGGACCCGAAAACACGTCGTGTTCGGTTATCAACACGAATTGTGGCTCAGGCACATATTTTGAACTGACGCCAATCTGCAGCAAGACTCCTTACAACCGGGAGTTGGTGTGTCCGAATCGATGGGTGTGGATGGAACACTCACCTAAGGCTTTTGGACCCCGCTGCGTAGTAGTTCGGGTGGATATGTCCCGCAGCCCCGTTTCTTCCGTTTTGTCGTCCACCCTCTATCGAACCCAATCCAACTAGCCTGCCGTGAGTCACCGTGACGCTCTCCATCATCGCCGGTGTTGCCTCCTACTTGATTGAAACATCGCCAACAACACTTGAAAACAACAACAACAACAACAACGACGACGACGATGACGACAGCGCTGTCGCGGAAGAGTGTGTTCGAGGCCAAGGATGAGTCCAGGAAGCAGGCCGCTGCGTCAGACAAGGCTAGGGAGGCGGCCGTCGAGGAAGCGGTTAGCCGCGTCAACCGTCAGGTCGAGGAGAGCATGAGCGAGACCTATAGGTACGGGATGACTGTATCGTGAATGCACGGTTTCATATCAACTGGTTTTGTCCCAAAAATCTTACATGGCTTTCGATTCACTGTGCTTACTGCGAACCGGTCCCTAGACACCGTTGTCACTGGAGGCCGTCAAAGGACGTTGGACTAAAAATCGGATTCCGGTGTACGTTTGCATGTGAGCAAGAAAAAATCTTGATCTCACTGCCCGGGGGGCGGCATGAACGATACATTAAATCTAATAAGATTAAAGCCCATACCTACAACCCCAACAAGGGCATCCTGCTTGTCCCCCCAAAGGGGAACCTGCGTATTAGTGAATGCAAGTTAATGGTGCTGAATTTATTGTTCCCGCCTCGTGCACGCCAAAGGGTCCAATCCAAGGTACAGACGCTGCAAGACCAGCTTAGCGATGCGCTGGGAGATCTGTCTATGGCTAGAAGGAGAGAAGAGGCACTAAAGGCGGAGGTTGCGGTGATGGCTACCAAATTGGAGGATCGGGGGACGGAGCTCGCCAAAGCGCAGGTAATCTCTCAACAAGCGATCAACGTTTCTCTCGTCTAGAAGATGTGCGGCCGTCTTTTCAGGGAGAATGAGCACACAAATCGCCAACTGTCATCACCTTTCTCTGGGGTTCTCATGTTCTCCTTGTCTAAGAACCTAGAACAACAGGGCGGGCGACATCACAATCGAACGATTTGACGTTTCGGGCTCGCCAGGACGTACGGGGGAATAGTGTTGCCACGTTCAGGACCTCTTAGACGGCCTCTGGACGGGCCTGTTCCCTTTGTTGTCTTCTTGCCCATGAAAAGCTGTATTTACCCCGTGTGTATCGGGGATGGTTAGTTCTCTACATCGCAAGGCTTCTACGTGTTTCATACTTAACTGTGGGTTATAGCTGCGCTCTTGAACTCGGAGTCAGGAACCGAGGACTTCTCTGCCGACGCATCATATCGTAGGGGTTGTGGGTCAGTTTCTGCGTCTTGGCACCCATGGATCAAATCTTATCCGTACAATTAGTTTCGACCCGGCCGACGTCCTGTGGTATTCGTTTTGTCTGTATTTGGTGTTCGAATTATGTCCACGCTGTTAAGTCTCGTACGCATTCCACGCCAGGCCAGTCATTATCCCCAAAACATCCCTTCTCTTCCCAACGAAAACAACGACCACCGTGCCAACAAGGCGCTCTTGAGCCCCACCGCCAACTTGACCGCTACGACAACCAACACGTATCATACATTTTCGAAAACGTCGCCGACAATACCGCTACCACTGCCTACACCCTACGCAGTCGAGAGCCGACGACCTCGCCGAAGCGCGCGCTGCCGATACGGAGTCCTCCGCCGACCGGGCCGCTCGGGAGGCCGTGGTGCGCCGGCTGGACAACGAGCGGCAGTACCTCAAGAGCCAGCTTCAGACGGAGATCACGTGCAAAGACGAACTCCGGGAAGCCCTTGCAAAGGCCACTCGACAGCTAGGAGACATCAAGGTTGGTGTGATTTGCATTACGTGTACTAGATGGACTCTCTGCGGTGTACCGAGACAGCCAGCTGTACAAGTTGGCCGGTCACTGCTGGCAGTACCACACGATGAGAGGAAACAATGAAGCCAGCGTTTTCGCACAAAGAGATGAACGTAGGCCAGCTACTTTCGGGATGGGGTCGGGAGAAGTGAACGTCAGGTGCTCTCCTCGGAGGAACCTCTACGCGCAGACATATCCGTGTTGTAGAAGATATAGAAAACACCAAGCGCTAGCAGCATTGATACTCAACTGGTTTTGCGGCGTCTTAAAGCAAAACTCGGTTCAGCATCACTCTCAGTATCATGAGTTAGAACAATAAATCTGGGTCGAGAAAGTTCCGTGACATTTCAATGCGGGGACCCACAAGTGATGAAAGTAATCAAAGTCACGTGGTTTAAATAGTGTTTTTGGGTTTCAAGGTGACAAAATTGGGTTGTTGTTACCCGCGAGAGCGTGTGTTTATCCATCGCGTGAGTTCACCACGTCGTGTGCCGTGTGTTGGGTGCAAAACAAGGTGGACTGGGCCGACGAGCAAGCCTCGAGGACGGATGAGTTTCAGCAAGAACTGCAGGCCAAGACGAAGGCGATGAGCGATCTCAACGCCGAAAAGGTAGGAACGAGTTATGGTCCATCGAAGCTTGGGGTTGTTGTTGATAAACCGTTAAGCTTTGCAACGCACGTCCCCTCACACTTTAGCGTTCGTTCAGAATGCCAAAGCCTCGCGACACTGTATGGGCTGGTTTGGAAAGCCTTTGCTTTGGGGAGGGGGGCTATCGTCACGGTAGTCTAAGTACACACCATGGTACTAAGGTGCTGTCAGTTATCAGTTGGTTTTCCCGTCTACTGTAGATCCAGCCAGCGTTCCAGCATGGTCCACACCTTGCGCGGCTACGACTGCGAAGGGTGACCGACGTGACCAGTACAATAAACGTCACAGCCTGGATGTCCCAACACGTCAGGCGGCCAAGGTATCGCTTCGATCGTTGCGTCCTTTCGTCTGTCCTTTACCCACCGCGCTGTCGTGACATGCCACGTCACCCCACACCGTTGCGGCGACGGTGGTGGCGGGCCAGGTGGCAATGGAGGCCGAGCTCGTTGCGATAACCCGACAGGTCGGGCTGCTCAAAGAGGGGTACTCCAAGGCCAGAGACAACCTTAGAGCGGAACAATCGGTGAGAGAACGAAACGCAACTTTTTCGTACCTTGTTTGGCGGATCTGCGACGGTCCTATGCACATCGAGAGGAGCCGTACACATCATAGCGCGAAAGTCTTGTCCTTTGCGTTCGAGACTAGCAAGACGTTGGGGATGTGTTAATGTAGCTTTTGTTATTTCTAGCTCTATTGTACCCGTATGTGGTTTCGGTGGGCTGCTGCTCTGTATAGTCTGTCGGTACACGCGTTTGCATGATTTTGCTGTCTTACCTTCTATATGGATGGCAAAACCGAAGCCCTCGCTAATTCGTTCAATAGGTATCGCTACTTCGTTCAATAGGGATCGTCTTCGGTTTTGGGGGTTCGGTCCATCTGTGCCCCCGCCCCCGCGACGCCCCCACCCGTTGCCCTCGCTGTTCGGCCGTCTGCCGCAGAGCCGATTTCTCGGACCGCGCTCGTTCCCAACCCCCCACTGCCCCCAACACCCGTTTCGGACGTCATTTCTCCGCGCACCTAGTAGCCCACCGCGTACCATCACAATGCCCCAGAGACGGCTTAGGTTTGACGCCGCCGCTAACCGCTCTGTGCTCGTCGTTACGACGCCGACTTGCCGAAATCAACGCATGTCAACAGGCCCTTGAGACGGCTCGGACCGCCAACCGTCGTCTTCGGGAGGAGGTAAAAGCCTGCACCGAGGAGCTCGCTGCCATCAAGACCCAGCAGGAAGAGGATGCCAGGAGACACAGCCAGAGCTTGGTCGCCGCGAAGACTGCACTGGACGAGGTGTGCACGTTGTCATGCCGTGCGTCGGGTGTGTGCTCCGCCCCGCGGTTTTTTCGATATCTACTCTTTCTGGTCAAACTCCATGTCGTGCGCGACGACAACGTCGTCGGCACTTGCCTCCTCATCTCACGATCGCATCGACCGCTCTACTTGCGCCTTCAAACGATGTTTTCCCCGGCCCTTCTTTGACTCTATACTGTCGTCATGCTCTCGCTGCTCTTCAAAAGGCCGACGAGGCGAAGAGGAGGCAGGCCGTTGAGCAGCAGATGCAGCTCCGTGGACAACTCCTTAAGACTGGGGAGGTGCAGCGTCGGCTCATGGAGCTTCAGAACGAACTCGCAGGTGGGGGAGGTGTACATCGGGCGGAATAAGCTCGACGGCCCCAGTTTCTGTTCGTGAGCCTCGTTCCGTTCCCGTTGCCCGAAGACTGTAGAACGAATCTCAAAGCAGGGTTGTTTCAAGTGACCCCAGTATAGCTCTATCTCGGAGGGGATATGTTGGTTTTTTAGTCAAATGAGTAGGGCAAGAGTAACCTAAGCGTCTTCCCCCCCCCCCCCATGGTGTACCTCGCAATACTTAGTGCGAGAACGCGCTGCCGAACGCCTTCTTGCCGCCGAGCGCCTGGGGCAAGGGTTAACGCGGTGGTGCACCAATAGGAGAGCGTCCGCCTTCTACCGCATCGTGAGCGGGGTAACCATGGTGGCAGCCGAGAGTGACGTCAGAGAACGCACCCGAAGAGCTCTCAGGGAGGCCGGGGAGGGAGCGCGTAGGGCGCAGAAGGCGGCGGTCGAGGCAAGGGTCATGTGTCTGTGTTGTCGGGTACCTGATAACGGCAGAATGGAACGCACCTTTGCTTAGGTTCTCCTTGGATTTTGTGGCCTTTGTGCGTTACTTGAGACTATCGCCTGAAATCGTCTTAACAATGAAGCTGTTCCTTCATGTTGTTGTTGTTGTTGTTGTTGCTACTCTGTACCACGGAAATTCCACGACAAAAAAAATGACAATAGCAATAACAGGAGCACCACCACACCCTTACCACCAACAACAACACAGGATGCTCGAAGAGCGGTCATGGTGAAGGCTGAAGATGAACTCGCGGAGGCCGAGCGAGTCTTCGCCGAGGAGCGAGACAGGCTGCTGGAGGAAGCCGAAGCCGCGGCGGCGGTTTCCGCGACCCAGGTGCAGACCATCGAAGAGCTCAGGGCGCTCGAGACAGGAACGAGACGCGAGCTCGAGAAAGCCAGGCAAGGAGCAGAACAGCGCGACAGCAAGATGATTGGTCTAATACTTGTTTCTATTCACGTATCACGTGTTCCTATGGAACTATGTTGCCTCGCTTGACATCCTGAGGGAGGTGCGGATGCAGGTTGGGTTGCTGTCAGTCGCTCACGTTATTTTTGCGAAACGAGAGAACACCAATCATCAACGCCGCCGCTATTCACCACGTAGAGCCAGTTAATGCTGGAGAGCATGGTATGGGCAAACTTCCCCGCCACGAAACCTTTCTCTCACAGATTTACAGTCCTGGGGGCAAAACAAGGTCGGCCATGCACAGAGACCGCATCGTGCGCCCAAGAGTTTTGTAACCAAAGACAAGGTGTAAGAAAATAAGGGCCTACACATGCCGCAACACCACAAGTAGACTAAACAGACCCAAATGATCGTGTGATTCCCCTGACCGTTGTTCTTCTCATTAGGGCGGAAGTTAAGGAGAACTCCAAGAGGTACCGGGAGACGTCGGAACGAGCGGCACAGGAGGCGAAACTTCGAGCCAAGGAGCGGGTTGAGGTAACGATAGGATGCCTGGCTGTATCACAAGCCCATGCGGATAGCCTCACCACCCAAAAACTATTGTGCCTTCAGCTTTGTGCGTATGGTTGGCACGCAAGTAGAGAACATTTCCTCGAGCGTTAGAACAAGTCCATTTCTTCTTTTGTGGCATTTTTGGCGGACAACCAAGGGACAAAAGCAACACATGGTATCCACAAGCCCAGCAAGTCGGGGGACCGACGGTTTGTGCCCTCTCCGTGCCGAACTTAGTTTCGCAACCCTGACTCCTGCTATCCCTACCCCCACGCCGCTCCACCAATTTAATCGGCAACTATTCGGTACGGAATCTGAAAGCTATGCTTGAACGGCCTCTCTTGCGTCCGCATCCCAATCGACCACCAAAAAACGTGTCGCCCCCATATGGCCAAAAAGGCGGCGATCTCCCGCACCAAGGAAGCCTGCGAAGAAGCCAACGCCAAGGCGAAGGAAAAGTCGGACGAAAAGTGGCGGGGTGTGCTGCGCGAGGAGCTAAAAAAGGCAGAGGACGAGGCGGCGGCGGTGGCGGCTGCAGCCAGCAGGGATCACGACGCGCTCCTGGAGGAAACCCAACAGGCGTTCCGCATGTGAGCACTTGGTGGTTGGTCGAATCTCGCTGAGAAGCAGAATCACAAATATGTAGTAGTGCCTTTCACTTTGCGTACCGCATGGACAACGTTCCAAGGAAGAAGTCCTCAAGGAACACTCCTTCCTAGAGAGTACCAGCAAAACTAGTGACCGCCGCATCAGAACGCGGTGCGGTTCGCCAGCGACCACGTGGTGTATCGCGTGGAACGGTAGTAGTGTTCTGAACGTTTTTTTGCACATGGTTCCCTCCCGCAAGCCGCAGCAGTAAACAGTAGACAAGCGCAGAACGTTTTGCCATCAGCGCTCTAACGTTGACTGGCCAATCAACGACAAGTCCAGCCTTTCACTCAAGCATACACTTGAGCCCGATAGACACTAGCTGGTGCACCGGAAGCAAGAGAGCGAACAGCGACAACGCACCCCCCCCCGGTGTCCAGGGAGCGAGAACGCCTCCGCGAAGAAGCCGAGCGCCTGGCCTCGGCCGCCACCGAGGCCGAGCGACAGCGAGGCCTCACGCTCTGCGCCGAGGCGAAGGCCGCCGGCGCCGCCGAAGCCGGCGCCGCTTTCGCCCTGACGCGGGAGCAAGACCTGGCCGAGGCCGAGCGGAAGCGAGAGGAGGCCTTGGAGGAGGCCGCCGGGCGCGCCAAGGAGGCGGAGGCGCTGGCGCGCTCCGCGCAGAGGGAGGCGAAGAGGAGGTCGGAGGCGGAGGCGGCGGAGGAGAGGGGGAGGCTGGAGAGGGCGCTGGCGAAGGCGAGGGAGAGGGCGGTGGAGCTGGAGGGGGGCAAGTGGAAGAGGGCGTCGGAGGAGGCGGAGGCGCGCGCGGCCGCGGAGCAGGTGTGGTGGCGGATGAGATGGCCATCAGCCGTGGTGCTCGTTTGTCGTTTGCCCCGTGTAGTTTTCCATTGACAAACACGCCATCTATTTTGAGACGATAGATAGTGGTCGAAACCGCGATGGATAATGCATTCATGCCGGTTTCAACAGCTGCTTGTCCCAACTTGCTTCAAGGGCCGTAAAAGACAACTACTAGCAAAGTCATCCAATGACCGATTGCTCGTCGAAATAGGGCTCAAATTGAGTAATTGCTTGCAGGATTTGATTTCCCTACTGTGTAAGATGCGCACAGCGACCCGCCGGGAGGCGATGGGATGAGTAAGGCGGCGGTTCTTATGATTTGTTTCACTGAAACACATTCTGGCATGTTTGTGGTATTCTCCCCTCCTGACAAGACCGACTCCTCCAACTTTCCTACCCCACCCCCCACGACAATATAGGCGGCCGCGTACGAGCGAGGTACGGCGGACAGAGGGCGGCAAGCCGAGGTGGAAGCTTTGCAGCTGCAAGACGCAGCAGAGAAGGCCCTCGAGGAGGTGAAACAGGGCGCCCGGACCACCATCGAGGAAATGGCTGCTCGACATTCTGAAGAACTCGAGGCGGAGAGAAAGTAAGCCTTTCCTGGTATTGTTGTTGTTGCCCGCTCTTGTTGCAATTTTAACGTGTTGCCTTGTCCACCCACGCATTTTTTTACACCCATGATGTGTGTGAGTCGTTTCCAACGACTTTCTGAATGACTCTCTGTAGCGCGCGATCACTGTGGCTGACTCTAAGATTGTGAGTGAATCGGCGTGCCTGTGCCATCTTCAAAGCCTTACGCGAGTCTCACATCAACAACACAAGCTGCTATACACCTGCTGGATAGTTCCGTGATACCCATGACATGGCGGGCGGTTGAATTTGCGTTCAAGCACCTCTTTCATCACGCGGGGCCCGAGTCCTTATGTCCACTGCGGGGCAACCAGAAAAGCCACTACTTCAGACCCCAGCTTGGGGTTTGACGCCTGGCCCTAAACCTATTCTATACACTGGCATACGTCTTGGCAACAACACTCTGCGTAGCATCTAAACAGCAAGTTCTTTCGCATGGTGGCCATACTTGTACCGTGACACGATATGGCGTGATATGACCTGGCGTGGCAGGCGGGTTTCCGACGAGGAGGCGGTTGCGAGGGAGGCGGCGCTGAAGGCCGCGGGTGAAGAGTTCTCGCAACAGCAAACGAAGGCCGTCGCCAATGTGAGACAACAGTGAGAATTATTTGTTCTCTTTGCTTCGTATTCAGAGAGCTACAGTGCTTCTCTCGTCACCCCCACGTACGTGTGCCTCTCAATATTCATTCTAAGCCGTTTCGCCCTTGGGGGAAAGCAGGTCCATTGCTGCGCTCACCCGCGTTCGATCAGTTGGGGGTGGCACCGGAATGAAAATGCGTTGCCTACCATGAGTCGTGCCAGTCTTCGTGCCCTGATAGGGTGGATCGCGCTGTGGGGACATTTGCAGAGGAAAGCATACCCCACACGTTTTGTCTCGTTGCAGAGTTTGCAGGCGAAACATAGTTGTCGTCGTGCTTGATTTATCCATCAACTCCCATTTCCTCAAAGTATTGGCCTCCGTAACGTGCGAGGAATGTCGCCGCTGCTACTTTGGCAATCAAATTTTGCATTCGTTCATTCCAATGAAGCTTAACACAACCAAGCAGTGCCCACAATAATAACGCCTGATTGTACCACAAAGGCTCGGGCGGCCGCAACGGCGGAGGCGAGAGCGCGCGCCGAGCGGGAACGAGGTTTGGCGGTGGAAGCGGCTAAGGAGAGAGAACGCCTTGCCACGGAGAAAGTTCAGGACGAGCTTCGAAGGTTAGGCCACACTTGTTGGTCGTTATGAATGGTGTCTAAATCCTAAAGCGTATTCTCGTCTTGGGCACCCTCCTTCTTGGTTTGAAGGGCGTCACACGTATTCATTAAGGTCGGTTAGTGAAACAGATACCATGTCGACGATCAAGATGAAGTTCCGACCAATGCGGGGAGGAGAGTGAAAGCTCGACGGTACTCTGGTCATACGTTCATTCCAAGTATCACACATATTGCCGGCGCACACATGGGCCGCGAATGTTGACGCGAGGCTTTCACTTTCATACATAGCAACTGAGACGGGTAAATATGACCTTCGAAACGCAGTAGTGGCCCGTTGAAACGGGGCGCAATACAACACCGATGAACATGTAAATGCGACTCCGTAATTTTCAACACTCTTGCGATATCAACCGTAGTTCGAAGACGGAGTGGGCGGCGGAACGCAGGAGGCTAAAGGAGCAGATCACGCTGCTGGAGGAGGCAGAACAGAAGGCTAAGGACAACCTTCTCCGGGCGATGGCCAACAGCAGTCAGGTACAGCCGGTGCTGCTTCATTTGTTGTTTTCATCGTCGTCACTCTGTTGTTGTTGTTGTTGTTGTTGTCATTGTCGTCGTCGTCATCGTCGTCGTCATCGTTGTTGTTGTCGTCATGTTGTCGTTGCTGTTGCTGCCGTTGTCGTTGATGATGATGGCAATGTCGTTCTGCAGCTATATCCATGACATTTGGGACTACAGTACTTGGTTTGTGTAGCTCGGGTCAAGGTGCCGCGAGATGTAATGATTCTACGCGTACGTGAACTTTAACACGCTGAATAACTCAATACTTGCCGTGTGGGAGGGAGGGTGAATGGGTGAATGAGTTGGGGCGTCGTAGTAAGCGCACAACTTCAGACGACATCAGGTCACCAGTAGTGCTGATATCTGGCGAGGACTCAACCATGCAGCCTTTGTCTTTCTGCACCCCTACTGTGTTTCCACTGGGCGGCAAAAACAAACCACTTCGCCAAAAAGGATGAACTTTAGTTGTTGTGCCAGTGGCGCATCTGCCGCAACCCGGTATGGAAGCCTCCTCGTTCGAGAGAACGCTTTCCGTTTACCGGACAATGCTTTACCAACGAACCTCCTTCTTTTCTCTCCCCCCCTACCTATCCCGCTCTTGGGGCACTACGTACGAACGAACCGAACGTGGTCTGGCAACGCACAGGCCACTCAAAAGGCTCGAGCGAGGTGGGAGGAGAGCCAAAAGTCGGCTATGGAGAAGGCGGCGGCGGAGGCGGTGGAGGAGCGAGAGAAGGCTCTCGAAGATGCACGCAGGGTGAGTGAAAGGGATGACAAGATGTAAGACAATCTCCAATGGAGATCTATCTGTTGAGAGAGGGAAGGTATCGAGTCGCGCACTGGTGCTGCAGGTTAGGACATACACGTGCACGACACAAGAACCTGCCGTGATTCTTGGTTTCAGCCTACAATAACATACTACACCAAGGCAAGGCCAAGCCCAACCAATCCTTTCGTCGTGAAATGCTTGCTTGGACCCTCTGTGCCGCAACCAGGCATTCAACCGAGAGAAGAAGCGAGCCCTGCTGGAAAGCCAGGACGCCTTCACGGCCCAGGCGGAGGCCATGGCGGAGAGAATACGAAAACAAGCGAACGTTTCCCTGCAGAAGGTGTGACACGGCGGGATAGGGTGCGACGAATACCGATGAAGTCCCCTGCGATCTAACTACGTGGCCGAGATGGGGTAGAAGACGAGAGGACAGGGGGTGGGGTATGGTTCCATGGCATGCGATGCCTTACTGAGTGTGGAACAAAAAGTGCCCAGGCTTGCTTCAACCGTTGTTGCTCTCCATGCGGGCAGCTCGGCAATCTGATCATGTTGTTCTCGCTGCAACAATGAATTTCTCTATGGACGATTCCGCGTCGTCCATGTTGCTCAGTTCGCAAAACGAGAACCACACCTTCTATCGCGCGCTTACAATACAAGAACGTTGTCCTCTCGCCCCCCCCCCCCCCCCCGGGGCTGAAACCAACATAAAACCCCCCCGGCCCCCTCCACCTATCCGCCAAATACCAAAGGTGAGG